GCTGCTGTGGAACCGTATATGTTAGCTTTGCTGCAATTGGTTGACTTCTCAATTGTGATCTAATAAGATTAAGGTAAAATATATTTTATGCACTTTTTATAATATCCTCCTGAGAACCAGAAATAAAAAGCTTTGTGAATTTAGTATTTTTTCATGTCATTACATTGTTTAGAGCATAATAAAAAAAATGGTAAAATAAGATTTTTGAACAATTATATTTTATTCATAAGTTATGCTATGTCCTCTGTAGAGGACACCAATTTTTAAATCACCAATCAATTTTTAGGTTTCAGGATTTTTTTTATAACTAACTTTGTTTAAGGATGGTTCTCAACTATGTTGAGGGTTCTCATTAACAGCACAGCCTCCAACTAACCAGATGCGGGGACGACTTTGTCAAATCAACATAAAAAATGTAGCACCACAATCTATATTGTATAAGAGGTGTTATATAGTCATTTAATATGTTTCAGTGCTGCTGTGGAACCGTATATGTTAGCTTTGCTGCAATTGGTTGACTTCTCAATTGTGATCTAATAAGATTAAGGTAAAATATATTTTATGCACTTTTTATAATATCCTCCTGAGAACCAAAAATAAAAAGCTTTGTGAATTTAGTATTTTTTCATGTCATTACATTGTTTAGAGCATAATTAAAAAAATGGTAAAATAAGATTTTTGAACAATTATATTTTATTCATAAGTTATGCTATGTCCTCTGTAGAGGACACCAATTTTTAAATCACCAATCAATTTTTAGGTTTCAGGATTTTTTTTATAACTAACTTTGTTTAAGGATGGTTCTCAACTATGTTATAAAATACATAACAAAATGATTTGATATACCATTTTGCTTTATGCAATATGTGTGTAAAAATTCCATAAACTGGTGTTCCCATTAAGCACAATGTTATCTATACACTGTATCTAATTTGCATATTAAAGTGCTGTTGGGACAGCATGTTGAAAAAAGAAGTGTAATAATGGGAGTAATAATTGGCCAGATTTTCATAATATCTAATATTTCATAAGAATATTGATATATAATTTGTTTTCCTATTCAATGCTTTTGTCTCCCAAAATGTATAAATGTATAATAAATGTATAATAAACATGCTTTTAGTCCTGGTGTCCTCTACAGTGGATTATACATTATGTCCTGTTTCATAACAGGAAGTCATATTTTGATTTGAAACCCCATAACATTTCCCCGAGATGTTGATTTATTTCTGATTTTTGAAAATTAATCAGATTTAAATTATAATGACAAAATATTATCATATTTCCATAAGGATGTACAGTTTTATCACTAAATTAATGTCAGCCATTTTTAAACACCAAGGAGAGGGAGTGGTGATGGTGAAACATCCAATCGTTTGGTATCTCTGGAAAGCCCTGAATGTGCTCTGTACAGGACATCCCGAATTAAAACTGTGACATGTGAGGCCTCAGAGAAATTCACTAAAATATAATGTCCACTACAGAGGCAAAAACTCCATAGCTGGGTCTCAGGAGGATATGCAAAAATCCTTTCACATGCATTTCTAATCATCTAAATTAATTCAATTAATCACATCATTAACAGGGATGTGCACAGGATAAAATAAATAAATAAAGGTAATTGAAACTTTCTCGCAATTCAGCCTTTTTGTTCTTAAATATAAGTTCTCATAATTCTGATTTTTCTCATAATTCTTGATTTTTTTTATTCGCAATTCTGAGCATATATCTCACAATTCTGACTTTTGTTCTTGCAATTTTGAGATATAAACGTGCAATTCTGATTTTAAAAAAGTCAGAATTGTGAGATCAAATGTAAGTTACCTTTTTCATTTTTATTCTGTTGCAGTAACAAGAAACAAAAAAAAACTGAGATGTAAACTCAGAATTCTGAGGAAAAAGAATTCTGAGTTTATATCTCGCAATTCTTTTTTACTTCGAATTGTGAAAAATGGGCATAATATCATTATTACATGAATTAGAATTTGATATGGCATGACAGAATTTTTTCCCCCTGAATTTCAATTCAAATAAACTCAGCACAGCTTGAGCACAAATTCTGGGAATTTAAGTGCTCATCCACTCTTAGCCTATAAATCTTTACTCTCTTTATTTTTTAATCCTTTTGAATATTTTCAAACAAGGAAACATTCAATATTTGTCCATCTTTGCTTTTCCAGTTAAGAATTTGTTATATGAATTTAAATTCATTTTCAATTCATTCTGCTTTTCTACATTAATATTCAAAATGAAATTCTGCATCCTGTTCGCCATCTCAAATCAGTGCCATTTCAAATTCAAGGCATTCTCAATCCAAATCTGAATGTTGCACAACACTGAAAATACATATTCATACTCAAACTTTGCCTTGACAACCACCATGAGCCAAAGAGCAAGTGAGAAAACTCCTCCTCCATTCAATAGTACACAGTCAGTCTGTTTTATGTAAGGAGCGCCACCTACTGGATGCCAGTGGTACAGCACGAAAAATAAATCCTTTCACAAGTTGCTGTCCAAAGCACAACACACAATCCCAGGACCTCCAAGGGAGCAAGAACCTTCTAAAAATAGTTAAGACAGGCGGTGCACGTAACAAACGCTTTTGAGCTGCATTACGAAGGGAAGTTGAAATAGATAAAGTTCCTTTTTTGTGATAAGGGCTATAGCTTTTGCCATTGCTCTGCAGGGAATCACTTTTAAAAGTGTAAAGTAGAACTTACTCGCAATCAAAACAAAGACAAGTGTATTAAATATTTTCTGGAGTGTGTTTAATGGCCCGCCATGTTGTATGGAGTGTGAACTACAGTATGTCAATTCATCTGGATTTCAAGCACATCATCAAAGCACAAGGCAGGAGATTCAAGCCATCGGACATCAAAGCACACCTGACAGCCGTTCATGCTTCTGTGAGACAATGATAACCCCATCCATCATATTTGTTTGGCAAGAGAGAAAGAAAGAGAGGAAAAGGAGGAGGGCTAAAGTCATAATTAATAGTCTCTTTTGTGGTAGCTCCACCTGGTCTGAACCTCGTGGCCCGAGGCTCTAAGTGAAGCAAGTCCGTTCAGTGCTGAAACACCTGGAGAGATCTGGAACTCCGCTTATGGCTATTTCTTCCATTCTCATCCTCCTTCCTGCTCACTTTCTCTCCTTCATCTGACCTCACAATTCACAGGTGACTCTTTATCATCTGCACTAAGATGCCAACATCATGTCATTAATCAGTTTTTGATTTATTAAACATTCCTTTGGTGTGTACTGTACATTTTCAAGAAGAGCTGACTGCAGGCGTAACGAGCCGCAACTGCATTCACTAGCTGTCTGTTACACACCTGCTGCGCTGAACTGGATTATAAACTTTGGCAACATGAGACAAGCATGATGCTTGAGTCAATTCAATTCTATTTCTGTAGCACTTCTAACATCTCATGGCATCCCAAAGTAGCCTTACAGAGATCACTAGCCACAATGTGCAAGACAAGGGCCACAAAAGAAAAACAACATCTGAGGAACGGAGTCGTAGCTATATAATGACAATGTTAGCCATGTGATCATTTAAATAAGGATGCACAACATATTGAAATTGAATCAGATTTGTTTTAGTTTTTTTTTTGTATCCGCCTATATTGGATATGCATTATTGACCAATATTAGATATTTAATTGTGCAAGCTCACTGGGGTTTGAGAAAAGCACTTTATAAGTAAATTGCATTATTATTACCACTATTTTTACATTCATCTTAGCTCTAAAACATACTTTAAAAACACAAATACTGACAGTTAAATATAATCTTTAGCAAATCTCAAAATGAATATCCACTTAAGTGTTTTATTACTAGTATTATTAGTGTTTTATTTTTAATATTTAATATTTTAACATTTGGGATTTTTATTTTTAAGATCTTCAATAATGAAGATTTGTAATTTCACATTTTCTTTATTTGTATATTTTGATGAAAATAACACAAAATATATAAACATTAAAATACCACATTTAAATAGCATCAAAATAACAACATTTATAATAATGCTACAGTGATTTATTTAATAATTGTACATTTTATTATTTTATATTTAATATTTTCATATAATATTTAATTTTTTTTTTAATTTTATATTTAAGATTTTTAATGTTGAATATTTTCTATTTTAAAAATATAATAAATCTATTAAAATAAAATTAATAAAAGTTTATAAATATATTAAAATAACATAATAAAATGACATTAAAACAATACTAAATGGACCATATTTAAACAATTATTCTAATAATTTTACTTTTTTTTTTTTTGCTTCAGTATTTTAGTTAGTAATTTTAGTATTTTAATATTGGCAATTTATCAGTTATCATTACTACAACATAAAAATCATTATCAGCTGGTATAGGCCAGAATTTAAATATCACTGCATCCCTAAATTCAAACCAAGAACCACATGACAAGGCATGTTTGTCATCAATACCTAAGGTTTCCTATCAAACAATTACCAGCCAAACTCTGTTCCTATCCCTTAACCAACTCTAAACCCTGTAGGAACAGACTGTATTGAGCAGCTAATAAAACTTAAAAGTTCAAGTTTGAGGTTTTCCCTCATCATCTTCACTTATGCGGTTAAACCTGCTTTAAAGCAAAACGAGGCCCTGTAACACAACATTAGAGCATCTTTCTCTGTAAGTCTCTGCACGCGGGTCCTTACGCAGTCTTCAATCCAGTTGCCATGGCAGCAGCAGCTGTATCCACTGAGAGGTAAGGAAGCTGGCACCCCCCAATAACACGAGCCCCCTCCCTCTGGTGACCCGCTGCTGAACCAGGGCTGAGAGCAGAGGTCGATGGCTCGGAGCGGCCGTATGACAGTGAGGGATGATGGCGAATGAGAAGAGGGAGTAGAGGCATACAGATGGGGAAGAGAGGAAAAAAACGAGAGACTAGAGCAAATTTAATTACTATCAATGGAGGGATCTTCAAAAAACAAATCGACTGCCAATTTTTCTGTGGGCTGTGTGAAATTAAGGTACCATACAAAATGGATGGAGCTCTGCCGCTGGCTTTTTATCCTCCAGTGAAATTAAAAATGCCTCTTGCCCTGAGCAGAGAGATGAACAGATTACTTCCATGTGTCATTTTACACCTGCACTTGATATTGTTTGTCTCACATGCACAGATGTGCATTGAAGCGCTCATCAGACGCGGTCCGAGTGTGTTCATCAGTAAGATGCGGGCAGAGATGTCAAGTGAGTTGACCTTTGACCACCCTTGCCAGAGGTCAAGCAGTTTAAGTCAGTGTCCTACATATAGCATTACATGTTCTTCTCACCTGGAAAATCAAAGAAACGTCTGAGAGCATTGGCACTGACAGATTAAGTTACTAATAAATGCTCAAACATATAAGACAGACAATCAAAAATATCTCAGAATTAGTTTTAAACCGAGTTTACTTTGTTAATCACTTTTGCTCTTCTGACCGATTGAATTGCAACAAAAGGTAATAATAAAATGTGAAGGTGTAGGGTGAAATAAAATATGTGATACAAGACTGAATAAACAGAACAGAACTATTAAAATGACAAAACCAGAATAGATCAATTATGCCTTTAAAGAGATGCAGTAATTAAAATAAGATCACTGTTCTTAAACATTATTGTTTTTGTTGTTTATGATTTATTGCTAATTATTGATTTACATTTTAATTCTGAAATGTTTTTAACGGACCATAGTCAGGCTACACAACATATTTAATTTGACACAAACAAAAAGGATGTACAAAAATACAGTCTGTTAAATTAACACTTTGTTAAAGCATTGTCTCTTCAATTTAACAAGGTAAATAAATTATGTATTTTTAACCTATGTATTAAATATGGCATTTTTTTATATATTGTTTTTATATTGTCCTGGCATTGGTAATTAAAAATTATTAAAAATAAAAAATAAAAAAATCAGTAAAACTAGTTAATTAGTTACATCATTAATGCGCCTTCCCCGAACTGGTATTAGCGACATCCTCAAGATTAATGATTTTTCTCTAAATTCTGTAAAAACTAAAGATTAAAGGATATGATTTTTATAAGGGTTATATCTTAAACTAAGAAGAAACTGAGACTGTCACTGCTAATATTTACTTTAATATATTTAATATGTTAATGAGGTTGCTTGATCACTTAATGACATTGGATTTATCATTAAAAAAGGCTATTCATTTGCCTTTTTTATATTGTGTGAGAAGTCAAATTTCAAATACAGCTTCTCACAATAAATCTGGCACCTCTCTCTTAGATTTCCTGTTTTGGAAAGTTGTGTAAGCTTAATAGTAGATAATTTTTCCTTTTGCTGTTTGAACAAAAGGAAACACTGCTTTACCTCAGTTTACCCTGCTATTCTTTACTGTTTTGTTCCAAACAAAAGTGAAAATGGTCTTAATGTCCTAGGTCACGTCTAATTTTCATAATTTATGTTTTATAGTTTTTTTGTCGACTGGAAAAAAAACATTGTACTGTACAACCCATTAAACAGCCTACAGCCTCATTTTTATGTCGAATTAAATATGATGTTGAACTAAGGTCCGTTGTAATATTTTCATTAGGGTTGCAAAAAGGTGGAAAATTTTCAGTAAATTTTGGAAATATTCCAGAAATTTTGGAAACTTTACAGGATATTTTGGAATATTCCAAGGGATTTTTTTTTGGAAAGTTTCCGTAAATTTACTGGAAATTTTCCACCCCTTTACAACCCTAATTTTCATCAGTGGTTTTCTGACATGTCAAGAAACTACATGAAGCATATAAATGCGCGATGTCTCGGGTAAATACAACTATGATAATTTTATAAAAACACGTTCACAGATAACCACATTGAGTGCATTAATGAAACCCTTGTCTGCATATCATTTATTGCATCTATTAATTTGAATTATAAACCTGTATCTGCAGATTATTAAATTATCATCACAGACAGTTCTCATCAGCATTCAGGTACAGGACAGCCCTTCGAAAACCTGACTGAGGCAAACAGCTCCCTCTGCTGGTCATTAACTTGCACTTCACCTTGAACACTGACAGACAGAGTGATCTATACTCAAATTCAATGCATTCTGTTTTAACCTCATCAAAGCAAAATCAATTTTTTTTAAAAACAAAAGGCTTGCACTGATGTAGCCTGGTGCGTGTAGTAGCAGATGCTAGCCATGCTGAGATTGTTTGTTTGTGTGGCACGTGCTGTCTGTCTGCTGTAGCGTGGTGCCCAAGCATTCTTTTTCATTTGCTTGTTTTCCAGATGTCGTGTCCTCCACATCACCCCGTCCTCATCCTGCTCGGCTACCCCTCCCTCCCTCCCTCCCTCTGCCTGCAGCAGCGTCAGAGACCCTAACCACATCAGGCGAGATAGCAGATTGGAAGTACAAGAGCGATCCATCCATCAAAAGAGAGAGTTGGGAAGGAAGGGAAGGCAGGGGGCATGCAAGAGAGAAAGCAAGAGAGGAAGTAAAAGAGAAAGATAATCAGATGGATTTCAGCTAAACTGCAGATTATTAGCACTATGCGTCTAACATGTCTAGACCCCATTTCAATGTGTTATTCCTTACTGAGCCAATAAACTAGGGCTAAACAGAAATGCAGACCTGATATATGACTGCTGTTATGGCAACCTCAGTGCATGCGGTGACATCATCAGCGGACTGACTTTTCTAAACTCAGAAATACAATACACAATGAACACATTCAAAGCAAAGAACTCTTGGCCAACAATCACAACCAATATTCATGCAAATAACCCTTTTGTTCTTGTTATGATAAGACATGCCCACATATTGAGACATGAGCCATCTAGTAGGGGTGTGCACCATTCGGAAATGTATCGAAAATTAAATTCACAAATTTTAATTGCATTTGAAGTGAGGTAACAAAAAGGATGCACACCTGCAATTCAAATTTAAATGTAAGGAAGTAGAAATCAAATGAAAAGTAATTTGAAGAAAACCACATAACCGTAATTTGAACTAGAAAATAAAAGGTCGGTCGGTCGGACGGAATAGAAAGATAGATAAACAGACAGACAGAGAAATAGAAAGACAGATAAACACAGACAGACAGACAGAACACAAAACAAGGACGGACGGACGGACGGACAGACAGACAGACAGACAGATAGACCGACAGACAGACAGACAGACAGATAGACAGACAGACAGATAGACAGACAGACAGATACATAGATAGATAGACAGACAGACAGACAGATAGACCGACAGACAGACAGACAGACAGACAGACAGACAGAGAAATATAAAGATAGATAAACAGACAGACAGACAGAAATAGAACGATATATAAACAGACAGACAGACAGACAGAAATAGAACGATATATAAAAACAAACAGACAGACAGACAGAGAAATAGAACGATATATAGACAGACAGACAGACAGATGGATAGATAGATAGACCGACAGACAGACAAATATAAAGATAGATAAACAGACAGACAGACAGACAGAGAAATAGAACAATATATAAACAGACAGACAGACAGATGGATAGATAGATAGACCGACAGACAGACAAATATAAAGATAGATAAACAGACAGACAGACAGGCAGGCAGAGAAATAGAACGATATATAGACAGACAGACAGGCAGACAGACAGAGAAATAGAACGATATACAGGTGCATCTCAATAAATTAGAATGTCGTGGAAAAGTTCATTTATTTCAGTAATTCAACTCAAATTGTGAAACTCGTGTATTAAATAAATTCAATGCACACAGACTGAAGTAGTTTAAGTCTTTGGTTCTTTTAATTGTGATGATTTTGGCTCACATTTAACAAAAACCCACCAATTCACACAGACAGACAGACGGACAGAGAAATAGAACAATATATAAACAGACAGACAGACAGTCAGACAGACAGACAGACAGAGAAATAGAAAGATAGATAAACACAGACAGACAGAACACAAAACAAGGACAGACGGACACACAGACAGACAGACAGACAGACAGATAGACAGATAGACAGATAGATAGATAGATAGACAGAGAAATAGAAAGATAGATAAACACAGACAGACACAACACAAAACAAGGACGGACGGACAGACGGACAGAAAGACCGACCGACCGCAACAGACAGACAGACAGACAGACAGACAGCCCGCAAACATTCATGTACCACGTAGGTTGAATCCAAACAGATTATCAGAGCAGATCAGTCATTTTAAAACTTTCTGTGAGACGGAATTTCACAAACAGTGTGAGGGATTAGGATTGTTACCGCGTCTTCTCCCGCGCTCTCAAAATACCAATATCCACGTTGAGTTTGCTCTGCAAGCTGCAATACAAGACAAGCGCGCGTTTCTGGCAGTTGACGGAACTATCACCTGCACGTAATTTTAAGTCATGCCAATTTAAACATTCAAGCTATTTGAACCCATATACTCGCGCACTCATTGAGAGGTCTTCAATGCGCTCTCCAAAGCGCGCACAGCCGCCTCTCAAACAGCTCGCGACTCTCGAGTTACTGCATATTTGAATAAAATAATTTCCTTATTGACCGGCTATTTTATTTTATTTATCCATGGCACATGTTATCCAATTACTTGTTTGCATTATTTAGGCCTTATTTTATTTTAATTTTAAGGCAATTGATTTTTTTGGTAACACTTTACAAAGCAAATTCATCTTCCTGTGGGGTGCGAATGATACACGGATTGTGCGGCCAATTCAATTCACAGCCAATTCTTCAACTCTGAATTCATCTAGTCTGGTGGGTTCGCTCACACGTCGTGTTTGCGTAAACACCTGTTGCAGCAGGGCAGACGCGCAGACAAGGAGAGGACCTGAGGGACAGCTGTCTCGTCTGGCCTGCAGCGGGTAGTGGCTATATGATGGATTGCACTAAGTTAAAACAGGTGTCCCATGGGAGATCTTCACAGGGCGGTGTTCGCTCCATTCTCCTTAGGCTACCCATGATTCATGCAGCAAGGCAGAGAGATGCTCCGTAATGGGAAGCATACTGCATGTTTCGGTATGCATGGCATGTGCAAATAGTTTGGGTCATACTTGGGTTGCCCTGCCACTACCTCAGTTCTCAGCAGCTCTTCATCGCTGTGATATAACGCTTCACTTCCCCTGTATCTCTGGCACAACTGCGCTGCATCTGTGTATCACAGCTCTCGCCTCCCCTTCATTCTTAATGTGTTTGTGGCTCTCTCTCTTTCTCTCTCCAACACGCTCTCTATCTCCATTTCTAATTCCCTCACTCGATCTCTTCCACCTTCTCTTTCCCCACTGATGAATCACCTTCCCCTCCCGTTGAA